TGAGGAATCGATCCTGAAGACCTAGACTCGACCCTTCGACAACCCTGTAATTTTAGGGTTTAGGGTTTAGGATGTAGGGGTGTAGCGTTTAGGTTTAGGGGTTTAGGATTTAGGGGTTTAGGGTTTAGGGTTTAGGGTCGAGGGTCTTTTGTTGGGTTAAGGGTTTAGGGTTCACGGTTCTTATCGTTGAGATAAGGGTATGTATAGGGTTTAGGTTTGATTTATGCTTGGGTTTTGGGTCTTTTCATGTGGGGTTTAGGCTGAACGTAGTGATAGTGCTGGGTTAGTTATAACGACGGGGTGTATATGATCAGTAGATACTGGGACGCCTTGTAGACTAGACCCTTTACTCTAAATCTCGTGAGGTCCAGGACCTGGCGTTTAGGCTTCGCGATTTTGGGTCTTGGGTTTAGGGTTCTTCTTGGTTCTTGTTAAGGGATTTAATTTAAGTTACCATAATAGGGATCTATAGTAAATAATATGGTTTCCCTATTATGGTAACTTAAATTAAATCCCTTAACAAGAACCCAGTCTTGGGTTCTTGGGTTCTGGGTTTCGGGTTGGGTTTGAGGGGTCGGCCTTAGGATTTCAGCGTTGAGGTTCAGGGTTTCTAAGCCCTAAACCCTAAACCCTAAACCCTAAAGTTTGGGGTTTGGGGTTCAGGATTTAGCGTTTAGGGCTTGGGGTTTAGGGTTGTAGCCCTCAGCCCCCAAAGTCCTGATTTTTTGTCAATACACTTAGCACTTAGCACATTGACTTTCGTCGGTATACATTTATAAATAACTAAATAAATAAATAAATATAAATATAAATATAAATATAAATATAAATATAAGTATAAATATAAATATAAATATAAATATAAATATAAATATATATATATATATATATCTGTATATATGTATGCATACAGAGAAAGAGAGAGAGAGAGAGAGAGTACTTAATTCGTATGTATTTCTTGCTCTGATTACTTGAACAAGCCTCTTGACGAAGGAAAAACCCAAACTTCAAACACCCTAAACCCTAAACCCTAAACCCCAACCCTAAACCCTAAACCCTAAACCACCCCCAAAAAAACCCTAAACCCCAGCGCCAAAATACTTGATGTCAGGATGCAGAGTTGGAGGGGCGAAGCGAGGCGTGGAGATAAACAGGGGCATGAACAACTGGTAGTACACTTGCTTAGGTCTACTCAAAACACCTGTAGTAGTATAACATGCGCGCTCCACAACAGCTAATACTAAGGCTGTCAGTTTTGTTGGCCATTTTTTACTGCCGTCCGGGTTGATGGCTTGGCTGTTCGGATGGTATTTTTGAGCCTTGGGAGGGGTTGTATAGTCCAGAGACTCAGATTTGGGGTCGTGGCTTCAGTTCCATGTTTTCAGGTCTATAAGGGCAAGGTCCTGGTTCAATTCCATCGCTCCAAAATGTATGTTGTTTGTTTGCTTGGGGTCTGCAGCAAATGCTTGACTTGGATGCAGTTCTAGTCGCATCAGCAGAAACAGCACAGACCCACTGCCCGGAGTGGCACTGCCATCAACCCCCGTACTATAATCACTGCTCCGTCCTAAACCCTCAACCCTAAAGCCCAAACCCTAAACTCTCAACTTAGAATCGGTCCAGGGAAGCGAGGCTAGGGTTTAGGGTTTAGGGGTTAGGGTTTAGGGCTTAGGGTTTAGAGTTGAGGGTTTAGGGTTTAGGGTTTGCGGTTTATGATTTATGCAACTGGTGACACATCTATCCGTCAGTGCGAGCAGCTAGCTTGGCTCCTTGTACTTGATCCCTGCTCCAAGTTCTCAGGATCTTGGGGCCTTAACCCCTAAACCCGAAATCCCAAACCCTGAACCCTAAACCCCAAAACCGCAAACCCCAAACCCTGAAGCCCAAACCCTAGACCCTAAATCCCAAACCCTCCTAAGCATCTGGGATCCCAGACTCCTAACTCAAGCCTCGAGTTTCGCGCGTGGAGGGGGCTCTCTAAGTTACGGTGTAACTAGGGTTCAGGGTTTAAGGTTCAGGTTTGGGGCGTAGGGTTTAGGGTTTAGGGTGTAGGGTTCAGGCTTAGACCCCTGCCACTGCAGGACGACTGGCCAGGTGCGTCCCCTGCGTGCCTTTGGCAGGTGAGCGCGGACACATGAGCCTCCAACTAGGTTTGCTGGCCTGAAGCCACGATTCATGATCTCCGATGTTTTTGCAGGTTTCCCATGAAATCCTCCCTAAACCCTAAACCCTAAACCCTAAACCCTAAACCCTAAACCCTAAACCCTAAACCCTAAACCCTTTAAGTCCCAAGCAAACCTTTGCAAAGCCACTGCGACTCAAGGGTCGACACTTTAAGATCTCAAGCCGGGTTGTAACCCTCTGCCTCCTCTGTTCTCCACTTTGCTCCCTGAATTCTTAAACCCCTAAACCCTAAACCCTAAACCCCTAAACCCTAAACCCTAAACCCTAAACATCCCAAACCCTAAACCTTAAAGCCTATTCCATTGGGTACGACTGTGGAGAGGCGGGGCGGTGTGGAGAGGCGGGCCGGCATAGTCTAGGCTCTGCCTGGTACATAATAGGGGTTTAGGGTTTAGGGGTTTAGGGTTTAGGGGTTTAGGGTTTAGGGTTTAGGGTTTAGGGTTTAGGGTTTGGTGGAGGGGTGGAGGGGGATCGGGCTTGGCGGCCTAAACCTTGCCCATAGTTATCCTAAGCCCTAAACACTAAAGCCCTACCGCCCTAAAGCCATAAATTCCTAAACCCTAAACCCTAAAACCCTAAACCCTAAACCCCAAACCCTGAAGCCAAGACCCTAAACCGAAAACCCCTCAACCCTGCCCATAACTGGGTAGTTGTCTAAATTAGGGTCCATTTTTAGGTCCCCATTATAATACGGCACCCTTATAAAAGGGACCCTAAAAGGGGCCCTAATGTAGAGAACCACCCATAGCTACCCATGCACCCTCGAGTCGGTGAACCTGCAGCTGTGTGTCCGAAATCCCGAGAGGCATCGGGTCCCTAATGTCTGGGACCCTGCCGGCCCTGGGTTTAGGGCTTTGGGGTTTAGGGTTTCGGGTTTAGGCTTTAGGTTTTAGGTTTTAGGTTCTAGGGCTTAGGGCCCTGGGTTTAGGGCTTTGGGGTTTAGGGTTTCGGGTTTAGGCTTTAGGTTTTAGGGTCCAGGGTCTAGGGCTTTGGGTTTAGGGTTTCGGGTTTAGGCTTTAGGGACTAGGGTCGATGGCTTCGGGTTTAGGGTTGGGTTTAGGGCTTAGGGTTCAGTGTTTAGGGTTTAGGGTGTAGGGCTGGTGGTTCAAGGTACACTGGGCGCTTGTTACGGAACTTCGTTTAAGCTAAGAGAAAGGAAGCCGCATCTTTTTCAACAGGTCCTTGTTGTATTTTCTTATGATATAATACATCCCTATGTGTCCCTGGAGCGGTATCTTATACCCTAAACCCGCCAGTAGAAGCCCAAAAGTTGGAAACCCAATAGCCTCAATCCTGAGGAGTAATGTCAGAGGGAATCCCAGCACTGATTGTCCTTAAATCCGGTTTCCAACTTCTTGGGGTTTACTACACAACCCTAAAGCCTAAACCCTAAACCCTGAACCCCTAAACCCAGGAAGTTCCGAAACAAGGACCCAGCACAGCGCAAGGGGCAGCCGGAGCATCGCAAAAAAAAGCGCAGGCGCACAGGTCGTCGGGTTTAGGCTTAAGGGTTTAGGGCTTGGGGTTTAAGTTTAGGGTTTGGGGTTTGGGGTTTGGGGTTTGGGGTTTGGGGTTTGGGGTTCAGGTTTTGGGTTTAGGGTTTGGGGTTTGGGGTTTAGGGTTTGGGGTTTGGGGTTCAGGTTTGGGGTTTACGATTTGGGGTTTAGGGTTTAGGGTTCGAGGAACCCTTAAAGGAACCGTTATCGATCCCAGGGCTGCAAAACCCGGAAACCCCAGGACGCTGGGCCAGCATTGGCCGAAGAAAGGATTTGAACGGAGAGACCAAACCCCGAGCTGCATCCTGGGGTTTAGGAGGTTTAGGGGGTTAATGGGGGGTTTAGGGGGTTTAGCCCTAAACCCTAAACCCTAAACCCTAAACCCTAAACCCTAAACCCCTAAACCCTAAACCCTAGCGTTTAGCGTTTAGGGTTTACCCCAGAAGGCCTACCTTAATCGGGCTCCCTGGTTAAGATTTCCATACATGAGTCCTTAAGCAGGTAGGGCTTAAGGTGCAAGGTAAGCCCAACTTGTCCAGACCCTAAAATGCTGAACCCTAAACCCGACCTGTAGCAGAAAAGACCCGCCTCTTTACGGTTCCTTATTATGGTCTCTATATATTAGTTCCTTAACAAGGTAGGTCTTTTGACCGTCAACCCTAAACCCCAAAGCCTAAACTCTAGTTCCCCCTAAACCCTGAACCCTAAGCCCTAAACCCTTAACTCTAATCCCTAAACCCTGATGATCCCAGAGGTCGGTGACAAGTACCAGCAGGGCATCTACGATGCGCGGAAGCTGGCCAGGAAGCAGAACATCATCGTCGTCAGCGTGAACTATAGGCACCCTAGACCCTAAACCC